ATCATGGCCTGAGCCGAAGTCAGATGCTCAAACGACTGAGCCACCCAGGCACCCATTTCCCATTTCTGATGTTAGCTGGTCATGGCCGCTGACACCTGCCAAGTCCCCTTGCAGCAGGTATGGATACCATACAGGGTCCCCAGGTGGGGGGTGGAGGTTGTGTGGGTGAAGTTTCCTGTTGCTGCTGTAAAAAATTACCACAGACTTCAGAGCTTCATTTGAAGCTCCAGAGGTCAAAAATCCTAAAGTCAAGGTTCCGGCTAGCCCCACACCTTCTAGAGGCTCTAGGAGAGAATGCGTTTCCTTGCCTTCTCCAGTTTCTAGAGGCTGCCTACATTCCGTCGCCCAGGAACTCTCGGAACTCTGCTTCTGTTGTCGTGTCTTCTCACTGACTCTTGCCTCTCACCTCCCTCTCCTGAGGACCCTCCCTTGTGGTTACACTGGGCCCACCCAGATAATCCAGTGTGATGTCCCCATCTCAAGATCCTTAAATTAACTGTACCTGCACAGTTCCTTTTTCCATGTAAGGTAACAGATTCACAGATTCCAGGGATTAGGGTGTGGAGGGGCCATTATTCTTTCTGTCACAGGGACTACCAGAGCCTGGGGGTAGTCAGTGAAGAATGCCCTGAGAAGGATGATGGGGTACAGCCAGGTGAAGAAGCTGAGGAAGAACCTTCAGGTGGTGAGTGGGATGGAATTTGAGGTGTCCTGATCTGTATGAGGAATGGAACGAAAGGCTGTTGTGACAGCCAAGTGTACAAGGGAGTGGGTGTTGAGAGGTGACGCTGGAGACAGCAGGGGAAGTCACTGGAGGGTTTTAGAGTAGCTTTGTATTTACAAAGAACACTTGTGCCGCCATGATGACAGTGGGGTTAGAGGTGGGTATGGAGGGTGTTGGAGGCCACATAGGAGGCTGTCGTAATTCAGGTGAGAGATGCTGGGGGCCTTGCCTTGCTCGTGGCAGAAGATGAAAGAGAAGCGGATGGCTCTGAGAGATTGAAACCACAGACATGGTAGTGGGTGGGTCGGGCAAGACCCCCAGGCTAGACCTAGCGTCGGCCAAGAAGGTGGCAGCATTGTCATTTGTGGGGAAATACCAGGAAAGGGTTGGAATTGGGGGGAAGGAGAAGGGAATGCTCTAATATGGAGTAGATTGATTTTGAGGGCCTATGAGACAAACCAGTGGAAATGTCAATATTCATCCAGTCTGAATGAGCTCAGAAGTTTTCTGGAATGAAGATGAAATTGGAAATGGTAGCTGCTGATTGATGCCACATGAGTGGTTATTACCTGGGCCCTACAGAGAGGCATGGAGAAGAGGGAAGAGGGCCTCAGTGCTTGTAGAAAGCCCAGGGTAGCTAAAAGCGCCCTCTGTGGTTGTCAATGTTTCGAGCTCATCGGGGGTGAAGTGGAGATAGAATCCAGATGAAGAAATGTGGAGGTGAAGAAACAGAAGAATCTTAAAGAGTATTATGGAAAACTTCCCAAAATTGTATTAGCTTCCTATTGCTGCTATAAGAAATTAGGATTGACTTAGTGCCTTAAACAACACAAATTTCTTGGCTTATAGTTCCGGAGGTCAAAGACCTGAAATTGGCCTCCCGGAGCTAACATATAGGATGTATAAGTTTGAGTTCTTCCTGGAGGTTCCAGCAGAGACTGTTCCTTGCCTTTTCCAGCTTCTGGAGGTTGCGTGTGCTCCTTGGCTCCTGGCCCCCTTCCTTCGTCTTCAGAACTAGCAAGGGCCAGTTGAGTCCTTCACACATAGCATCACTCTGATCTGTCGGTCTGTGTGTTTCCCACTTTTAAGGATGCTTGTGATAACATTGGGCCCGCCAAGATAATCTGGGACAGTCCTTCTATTTTAAGGTCAACTCATAAGCAAATTAATCCCATCTACAAGCTGAATTTTCCTTAGCCATGTAAGGTAATGTATTCACAAGTTCTGGGGATTAGGACATAGACATCTTTGGGGCACCATTACTCTTCCAGTACACATATATGTTAATGTATAAACAGAATAGTATAACGAGCCCCACGTACCCAGCACTCAGCTTCAACAACACAGCGTGTCCTCACTTCTCCCCACCTCACCACTGGTTATTTAAAATAAATCTTAGAAGTTATCTGACTCATCTGTAGATGTTCCAGAATAGAGTTCTTTAAAGAAGTTGAGCTCTCATGGGACAGTGATGAGGGGGAGGTCACTGGGGAGATGTGTGGGAGAGTGTGCACGTGTGCATTTTTAGAGGGGGAGGCAGTTAGGCATGCTAAATTCTTCACTTTGACATTTGCAGCACTGGGCAGAAATCACATCATGTTAACACCCTCTACAGGGCCCTGCAGTAGGCATGTTAAATTCTGACGGGAAGGATCTAACTGTGGAGGAGAGACGGGCTTGGACGAGAGACGTGTCCGTCATTAACAGAGGGAGGCATGTAGGTTTGAAGGTTTGGGAACGAGAGTTCCTCTCTGCTGGTTTAATTTAATCCAATTAAAAAAAATGTTCCCCTATTGAGTAGGAAGCCAGTGAGTGGGGCAGAGGGGAACTAGGGGATGTTGAAGATTTGAGGAGCTCCAGGAAAGTTGGAAACAGTCACTGTGGAGAGAATGAGTGCACTGAAGAGACATTATTGGAGGCGGGACATGTTCGGGGCCTGCTTGGTGAATTCAAGTGAGTCCAGCCGGCATCGTTGTGGGACTTCTTCCGTTAGCATTGCACGTCTCTATGGGTGTATGTTCAGAGATGGCGGACCATTTGGCTCCTACTGGCTTAGTTTTTTGCCAGGTGGTGTGACCAGAGGACAGGGTTTTTAAGAGCAATTGAAGTCATGCTTCCTGGGCTCTACGCTGAATAAGAAAGAAGAGGCGTGACAGGATCAGGTGAGGTGAATGTAGCCATGGTGCTGGGATGCTTAAGGAAGCTGGCAGGCAGAGCGGAGCCTGGATCGATTGTAGGGTGGTGACCAGGTCCAGAGGAGCTGGAATGGAGTGGAATAAAAGCCAGCTGGTAAAGAGGACATCCAGTTACCGAGAGAGCAGGCTGTGGGAATGCTCCTCCACGTGGGTATTGAGATGACCCCGGATGACAGCAGGAGGCAGAGGGGAGGGTGAGGTCGTCTGTGAATGGAGGTCAGCCAAGAAAAGGAGATGGGAAGGGCCTTGCACAGATCTGGGAGGTGTGGACCTCAGGAGGGCAGGTGTTTAGCACAGGTTATTCCTCTTAAACATTGCCCTCTGTTTGGGTAATCACCTCCCCAACTCTCCCTCCAGTGGGAAAATATTAAGCTAGGTAGAGAAAAGCAGACTCGATCCAAGAATTCCTAAATAGCGAAAATCATGGATTCACTTGAATATATGGCTACCTCATAAAGAGAGATTTAATGAGCTCTGTCTCCGTGCGCTATCCTTTTATATCTGAAATTCCTCCCGGGCTCTAAGCCATATATTCTAATGTTGCTTCAGATATGGCCGTGGGTGTATTTAATATGCATTATTTATATTGATTTATGATTGGGATGTGGCTTTTTTGAAAAATTTTAGTGGTTTTTGTCTATACCATAAAATTCTGCTGTAATATTATAACTGCTGTTTAAAAGACTCAGCCTTGTATATGGCGTCGCTTATTGTGAAAGGTGATGGAAACCGCACGCGTGCGCGCACGAGAAGACAGTGAAACTATCAAATATGCACAAATGACCACTGAGCTCAAAGTCTCAGCTGACAGGAAAGGGAATTTAGATTGGTGGGCTGTATAATGGACCTAGAAAACACATGAAAACAGGATGTTATGATAAGGGAATAGAATTGGCCATTTCTGCTGCAGTCCTGTTTGCTCAAAATTGGGTTATTTTACATTTAACATTTTCTTGCTGACAAGTGACCATTTTGTCTGGTTCTCAGTCCACCTTTTGGCCATTTCTTCCCATGACAGGAGATGCCAATTATATGGATCAAGAATAGATATTAGCAGCAGATTCATTTTTTTTAGAAAACACAACGGTGTCTCTTCCTGTCTCCCAGATGTTTGAGATTCTCTGAACGGAGTCCTTCTCTGATAGCCTGAGAACGAGAGAAGGCTATAGAATGATGATAGAGCCACAGGTATATGTGGAGCCTGATCCTCGCACCCCAAACAGCTTACCTTGTTGGACTGGACTTCGGTCACTTTTCCTAATTGCAGCGGGGTCGTCTGGGCCTTCCGGGAGAAATGGGTGTCGTGTGGCTCACCAATCTGATGCATTTGGGAAGGGTTTTAAAGTATATCGTTCCATTATTCACAGTATTCCTTGGACGTTTCACTTTCCCAGTTAAGGCATTTCTCTGAGTGCCATATTTAAAGCTTCAACTATGTACACTCCCCCCCCCCCCCCGCCTTCATTTCTCTCCTCCCTGAGGTCCGCACCCTCATTTCCTGATTTGTTGTTCATCACTGTGCTTACCACCTTCCTGTATACTGTCCATTGTATTTGCTTTTTCTTTCTGGCTGTCTTCACTAAAATGTGAGCTCCATGAGTGTGGGCTTCCTTGTCTGTTTTGTTCACTGTTACATTGTCACTGCCTGGAATAGTACCTGGCACATAGTGGGCGTGCAGTAAATCGTTATCAGAATGAAGACGTTGACTTTGAGAGTGGTGATATGATTCTCTACACCACCAAGTATTATAAAAGCTGCTGGGCTTACAATTTACAATGTTTTATTCACAAGCTCTTAATGATAATTTGCTTATTTGCCTATCTCAAACCAACTTTACTAATAGAAGATCATGGAAGTCAGGTAGAATGGGTTTGAAGGGATGATTACATTGGATGAAGAGAAGAATAAGGCTGACATTATTAATTCCTTTACCGACTTACTTCTGACACTTTTTTTCCCCAGCACAAACAGCACTAACCACCACGAGGGCGAGAGTGATGCTGATCTCAATAGTGGACTCTCTTAAGAGTCTATTGTCCATTTTATGTACAATAGAAACTTTGTTATTTTTCTCTTTCAGGGCACCAATGCCTCTGCTCTGGAAAAAGACATTGGTCCAGAGCAGTTTCCAATCAATGAACACTATTTTGGATTGGTCAATGTAAGTATATAAAGATGTCTTATTTTTATCAAATGTTTTAGAGTACTTGAAGCAACTCCATGGCAGTTTCTCTTATTACCAATTTTTAAATAATTGTTCATGTGCCTTAGTTCCTAGAAATGGCAGGTGTTGGGGAGGAGAAATTTAGTTCAGTTTTTCAAAGTGTCAGTTGTCCCAGAAAAAAGGGTTTAATTACTGCATTGTTGGGTCACATTCTCACTTTTTTCCCCGGTGCTCATGAGATTTCCTTTATAACTTTTGGAATAATTTCATTAGCCTTTATGGCCAAATCTGCTTGTATCATGTGGGTGAGCTGGTCTTTGGCCAGTCTCTGTTTCAGTATGCATGAGTACAGAGTTTTAAAAGTGTTACCAGCTCATCACCAGGAACTGTTTAACAATCAAACTTGATGCTGGTACTGAAAGCAGGGGTGGATTGTGAGGGGGAAGACTGGGACCAATTTATCTCCCAATTCCTAGGCCTCATCTTATCTGTGCTCAGCAATGCTGCCTTGCATGTGACCACACTTAGGCTCTGCTTCCTTGATGAGTTGGTTATGACTAAGTCGTTAGGCGATGTTACCCAATACCCTTGTGAGCTTTCTTCCTCACCTGATCCGTTCCCTCTGGGGTAAAGGTTTTCCACCTCATAAGCACCTCACAAGCACCTGGTTTTCTGGTACAACCGCTCTGAGCAGAATCTGTCAGTACCCAGGTGTAACAGCTAGTAATTTCCACTGGGGAAGCTAGAAGTATTCTCAGTGAACAAATGCCCCTTGTGGCATAATGGAAAGAACATTGGCTTTGAAGTAATATAGCCCTGAATTCTGCCTGTGCTGCTCACTAGCTGTGTGATCTAGAGCAAGTCACTGGGCCTCTTTGAGCCTCCATTTCTCCATCTGTAAATTGGACACCATAACGATATCTTTCTCTTGGGTTATAATGAAGGATCAGTGAGCGAGCTCCTACTGAAGACCCTGACACAAGGCTGAGTCTTGTGAGACCCTGACACTCCGTAAACGTTAATTCCTTTTCCTTCCCAGAGTCATCCACTGGATCGGGGCCAAGCATTACTAAAGGGTATCTAGGCAAAGGCGGATACACTGAGTCAAAGAGAAAAGGATGGAAGAAGGAAGGCTAAAGTACTAGAATATAGGGCATTCTGTTGGCGAAATACGGACTTCCAATTTAAAATGTTTTTTTTTAACATTTATTTATTTTTGAGAGACAGAGAGAGACAGGGCGTGAGCAGGGGAGGGGCAGAGAGAGAGGGAGACACAGAATCTAAAGTAGGCTCCAGACACTGAGTTGGCAGCACAGAGCCCGACGCGGGGCCCAAACCCATGAGCCGTGAGATCATGACCTGAGCCGAAGTTGGACACTCAACCGACTGAGCCACCCAGGCGCTCCTGGACTTCTAATTTCAATACAATTTTTTTAGCCATTATGCACAGGCCTCTGCTGAGCTCTATGAAGATAGTTGTTCAAGTTGTGGAAAATTCTGCCCTTGCTAGGGAAAATACAAACGAGGAAAAAAAGAATTAAGTCCATTTCCTAGTTTGTGGAAGCATCGTGAGATTACATTTATTAATAGCTTCATTTATGTTCAAATGGTAATTCATGAAAGTTCCAGCTTCTCTTTAAAAAGAGGTTTGTCTCCTATTACATAATTATGTCAAAGTAGATTAAAATATGTAAAAATAGGAAATGTTCTCTCTTAGCATACGTAGAAATGTCACATTAAGTATGGCGGAGCATCTGTCTCACCCTTGGGAAAATGACACACAAGCCAACAACCAATCTTGAGAAGATGTTCATGTTCTATTTTAATCTTACAAAGGATTTTGAAATCTATGTTATTAATCTTGTGGTTTCTTTAGATTTTTCCCTTTTTATTTTCCTCTCTGTGAAGATTCCTAAAGTGATAGTCTAGGCTGTGTTCTTCCACTGAGTTGGTGTCACAGTCTGTTGAAAACCACTGAGATGATGACTTTTTCCTTCTTTAATCATAATCTGAGTATCTGTGGTTTTTGAGAGGAACAGAATATTAGGGTGTGCGTCCTAATGTGATTGTAGGAGACCAGGAACTGAGTGCCGTTGTGTTGGGACACTTACCATCATGGCAGAAAAAAGACTGAGGGTGACTCAGGAGTTGGAGGGGAAGAAGCTGGTGGGATGACCTAGGGAGGCACCTCTTTGCCCCATTGCTCTGGAGTAAGTGAGGACATGGGGTCTGAAGCAATGCGCAGGGGCGCCAGAATCTTGGAAGAGTAAGACTAAAACAAGTCCCCATGTAGATGAGGCTGCTTCAGCTGACCAACTGCTTCTTTTTCTTGGATTCTTTCTGATTTGGATTTTTATTTTCCACCGTAGGAGTTTAGATATGTCGTAATGTGGCCTCTCTTATTTATTTAATTATTGTTACTTTTCAATATTTATTTGGAGAGAGAGAGAGACATACTAAGTGTGAGTGGGGTATGGGTAGCAAGAGAGGGAGACACAGAATCCGGAGCAGGCTCCAGGATCTGAGCTGTTAGCCCAGCGCCTGATGCAGGGCTCGAACCTACGAACCATGAGATTATGACCTGAGCCAAGGCTGGTCGCTCTACTGACTGAGCCACCCAGGCACCCCCCTACAACATGGCCTCTCTTATTTAGCCAGCTGCTTTCCTTCGTCACCATATTATGTCGAGTTTTCTTCTTTTCTTTTTAAGCACTAGAAGCTCTCCTTAGATTTTTTTTCTTTTTTTTTTTTTTAATTAAGGCTGAGAGCTTCTTATCTATTTTAGGGACTTTCATGGGCTAGAGAGGCACCAGGCTGATATAAACCTGTATTCGTTTCCCTGTTGCTTAGATAGTCACTGGTGTGTGTTTAGAGTGGTTTGCTGGTTTTCTAACATGGCGAGCAGGCCTCCGATACTGGGAAATCTGGGCTGGCTCCTGGAGGGTGGGCTTCTCCCTCTTCCCACCGGAGGTGGCGCGTCTCCAGACCATGAACTTGAACCATCCCTGTTGTCCTTTGTCAGTTCGGAAACACGTGCTACTGTAACTCCGTGCTTCAGGCATTATACTTCTGTCGGCCGTTCCGGGAGAATGTGTTGGCATACAAGGCCCAGCAAAAAAAGAAGGAAAACTTACTGACGTGCCTGGCAGACCTTTTCCACAGCATTGCCACGCAGAAGAAGAAGGTTGGCGTGATCCCACCAAAGAAGTTCATTTCGAGGCTGAGAAAAGAGAATGGTGAGTAATGTGTCTGAAGGTCCGAAAGAAGGAGTATTCATAGTTCTGTGCATCCTCAAAACGTACCTCCCCTCTTGCTTTTTTTCATGGGAAAATGGTCTGGCCAACTACTCATAAAGGCAGATACAATTCTCCTTTTCCACCACGTATACGTAAAATAAGACTGGATAAAAAATATGCTTACAAATTCGGACTTATCATTTCGTTTTGGAATGGTCTTTTTATTTGCCGTGCATCGGGAGGGGCTTTTTTCTGGATAGGACCCATGTAAGAGAAAACTTGCCCAAGGCAGCCTTCTAGGCCGGCACACTGATTGGAATAAATAAGTTGATGCAGTAATTGAATAAAATGGTACTCTTATAAAGTTGTCGTAAGTGATTAAAATAAATGTATATTCTCTAATTGGAGACTCTGCTCTTTTAAAAATAATAACTCTGATTTTTAAAAAAAAAATTTTTTTTAACATTTATTTATTTTTGGGACAGAGAGAGACAGAGCATGAACAGGGGAGGGGCAGAGAGAGAGGGAGATACAGAATCGGAAACAGGCTCCAGGCTCTGAGCCATCAGCCCAGAGCCCGACGCGGGGCTCGAACTCACGAACCGCGAGATCGTGACCTGAGCCGAAGTCGGACGCTCAACCGACTGAGCCACCCAGGCACCCCATAATACCTCTGATTTTTATGCCTGAGACAATTGAAGGATATTAAGTTGATATCT